AGTGTGTCGGACACGATCTTCTATTTAAGAAGAACCATACATTACATGCAACCCGGCCAAAATGCACTGAGTTTCTCATAGCGTCCGTATCGCAAATATTTTTGCAGTATCATTAACAAGCTTAAATGATCACTATATGGTATCTAAATGAATTAGTATTTAAACCGCAGTGTAAAGATTGACATATGATCATAGTACTGTTTAAATACTATAAGCGCAATAATGAAGATCAGCACTAAGGAACATCATTGATATTTGAGATGACAGATGCAAGATATTTGACCACTTTCATAAAGAACTAACGTTCAGAAATGCAAGAGAGGGCATAACAGGGCTAAGGAAGGATTTGATGCAATCAAATGTAAGGTCGAACTATCAAAATCAGATTACTGTAAATAAAATGTGCCTGTACCATATTTACGTGAATTTACCACCTACAGCCCACAGCGAAAGAGCAAACAGAATCCGGCAACTTAAAGGTGCAGTTTGTGCAATCAAACAATATGAAACATATTGTTTGTTGGTTATTGTATTATTCTCTCTAAGATATCAATATGGCAACTATGGCACGTGAGTCCTTGATCCTTACAGCAAATGTGGATTGAAGAGGCACCCAACTTATGGTGAAATAGTTGGGCTAACAGGAGGGAATGAACAATAACAGGACAGTTACCAGCCCGCTGGGCAACCATGTTCAATTCAAGTCCGGAAGGTTCATATATTGATGGCTTAAACAATTTGGAAGTATTAGGGGAACAACAGAACAGAATTCAAGAGAGAGAGAGAGAGAGAAGAGATGAAAGAGCTACTATTAAGACAGAACCTAGGCGGTGGAACATACAGTCTGCAGAGATTGAGACAACATTCACGAGAAAGACATCCACCAGACGCTAACCTATGATGTTTTGTTCAACCTGCTGCTACACATGGATGCAGATGGATGCAGCCTCCACCCGCGTTCCGTTCCACTTCGGTGCTGTATAGTCTGTAAGTCTCACATCGTGGTGCCCTTCTTCATGCGGCCCAATCCACATCTGACGCCCTATGGTCTTCCAGGAAAATCCGAAAGCTGCGCTCGCAAGCAGTCCGATCTTCGAAGCCACCGTGGAGTGTCTATAGTGAGGCTAGTGCAATGAGGGGAAGAGGCTGCTCCCTTGCAGATTCACATGGAACCCAAAAAAACATGGGGGTTGTGGCGGAAAATTGTCTAAACCACCGGCCAAATTCTCAGGTTCCATGGAATCGTTTGCCTTTTGGGCTACTGCCACCGGGGGAATTTGTTCGACCAATCGACATGCCGTCCAAACCCTCCGTGTTTCCGGGAGGTTCCCAGCGCATGGGCCGGGCCGGGACATGTTCCCAGCGGCGTTCCCAGACACAACCCCATTATGTAGCCTACACCCCGGAAGGTTAACATGGAACCTGAAAAACCAGTGGGTTGTGAAGGAAAACCCGTCTTTCAGAGGTCCATTATTGAGGTGCAATGTAAGCATATTCCATGCATGGAGTGTCTCCATGCATCGTTCGTGTCTGGAATTCTTAGGCCGTTGACCGCCCATCGACACGGGCCGTTGGAATGATTGGATGCTGGTGGTCCAATGTTTTTTTGCCCGCCCTGCCGCCTGCCACCGAGAAGTCAGCCGCACCAGCAGAACAGCCGGTCGTCGCGAGCCCACCCAAAAGATCGGTCAAAGCAGCCATGGCTCGTAGTGGATGCGTGATTTTGCTGGCGGCAGCGGCGTTGCTGGGATTGAGGCACTGCTTTTTGGCCCCTTTGGCTGAAGCACCCTGCAGGTGCTCGGTTTGTTTGGAGGAGGTGAGTTATCATGAAGCTTCTAGCCCCAAATGGACACCAAAAGAAACAAGACCACAAGCTTGCAGAAGAACATGGTGCTTTCAACGCACTGGCACTTTACGTGTATCTGATGTTTTACGCACTCCCTTGGTCGCACACCCTTACGTTTTCAGCCCCTTCCCTGTCAGCGTAGGGTTTGTCAACCTTTGAGTGGAGCACCTGTGGGGGTTGTGACGATGGCACAGACCTTGGGTAGTTGAACATTTGCACCTTTGGTAGTTGAGCATGGCGGTTCAAACAGCTTGCCACCCTTCGTTCGGCTAAAGCCGGGGGCTGGTGCATTGGAGTAAGGCTCAGAAGGCAATGGGGAAACCAAAGAACGCCCAAACACAAGATGATACTTAGTGGATGACATCCCCAAATAGATGAAAAGGTGTCCAATACATGTTTATAGGGATCTACTTTTCCTATATATTTTTTTGGGGGTCTACATAGATGACATCCCCCATTCAAGAGCAAATCCCCGGCTGTTGGCATCGCCATTTGTCACATTCGCCTCCCGGCTGAACTGGCACTCCAAGGCCAG